GGAAAGTGCAACAATGAATGAATGGAAATCCAGAGTCTCTGTAAATTTTTACTGAAATTAATAAATTTAAATAAAACAAAAAAATTTAAGAGTTATTTCTTGTTTACACTAATGTCTTGCCTTTCAAAAGTCCTCATGATTGAAGGTCAATCATTGTAGCTCTTAATCTTAAAGTGCATTATGTAAGAGACTAAAAGTGAGAAAATTGCTTTTGAAGAAAAAAAATACTGTTATGATTTCATACTTTTTTTTTTATTTCATACTTTTAAAGACGTTCACAGGGAACAACTCAATTTTGCACTTAGTCCTTGTGTTTGAATGAAAGGTATATGGACATTTTGCTTCCCCAGTGGATTAGATGGTTTACATATGACCTTTTTATAAATCCCCTATCATTCACAAGAAGAATTTTCCATGCTATGAGAAAATTGCAATAAAATACTAATCTCTCAAACCAGATTTAAGCATTGTTAACTGAGTGTTAAAAGAGAAAACCTATTCTCTTTTGAATAGAGGCCAGGACCAAGGCTTCTTTCTTGGTCTCATCACACCGTTGTTACAGTTATACATCTCCCATCTGAATTTGGATAGCCTCTTGAAATTAAATATGCCTCCTTTTATGAATGTTTTGGTGAGAATAAAAGCAAAGAAGACACATATTTTCATTTTCTTTTGAGGAGCTGTTAATATTCAAAGTTATGTTTTGAGTCATCATTTAGTAGAGAAATTCTCATTGGAAACAAATCCACTTTAGTTAAGTAGTAATCTGGTATCAGCTGTATCATGGAAAATGGTCAGAAGTTATAAAAATGTAAATAATAGATCAAAGTAGTCATTCCTGTTCTTCCCACAAGAGTACTGAAAGCACAGTCTTTGGTTTTCTAAAAAAAAATAAATAAATTTTGAAAGACTAGGGCAATGAACATAGCCTCCCACCTCCATCATGCATGATTCTTGGGTTTGTGTTTGTTTAACTACATTGTATTTACATTTGTATTTGGTTAAACTTTCCTGATAAAATAAAGGCCTGATGACATCTATTTTTGGTCAAGAAGAGGGAAAGGCTGAGTCTGAACCAGGCTGTCTTGTTTCTACTGACATGAGCTGGCGCCATTCTAGCTGCCTACTATTTCTTAAAGCCTCGAGGCTCACCCAAACTTTTACTCTCAATAAAATACCTCTAACATTTGTCATGCGAGAAGCTGCACAGCTAAGGATGATATAAACAGTGTTCTTTGAAACCAACAAGACATGTGACATCTTGATTGGCACCTCTGGGGCTCAGATGGAGGGTATGACTGGGTAGTGTGGTCAGGAAGATTTCTAGTTCATGAAACATCCCAGCATAAGGAAGTGGGATAAGAAATTACTCAATTCTTTGGATAAAAGACCCAAGAAATTCCACAGAAAAATATGGGATATATAGATTACATCTAGGGTGGTTAAATAGAATTATTAAGTTTTTAAAACCAGTTCCACACTGAAACTAAGTCTGTTGCTAAAATAAAATGTTTTGGATCGAATTGTATCCCTGATATGTATTGAAATCATCACACACACCCCCATACACGTAAATGATTGCGATTTACCAAACCTATAGGTCAGGGTCACACTCCACCAAGGATTTCTTGAACTTTACGGAAGCAGACTGCCACATCTATCTCACAAATTGGCTGGTAGATCCTAACATGCCAGCCTTTGACTAGCTGCCAAATGCTTAGCCACTGTGCTACCAAGACTTTGAACTGAGTGTGTGGGTTCAAAATCCAATCACTTCTTAGCTCTCGAATGAGCATGGAAGCAGATGCACCTGGGGGAAACAGGCCATGTAAGGATTTTCTACAACCCAGAGAACACCCAGAGCTACCAACAGGGGAAACGGATCTATGGACCAAGAATCTCAGTGGGACTTTCAGCCTCCTTGACTGTGAGAACATACTTCTGTCCTTTAAAGCCTCCATGGGTGATATTTGTGTTTTAGCAGCACTAGAAAGAAAGCTATTAGGAAATTTGATTTGGTACTGATAGGAGGGAAAAGAATTGGCAGTTTCTTTCACAAAATTCCACATCAAACCTACATCACACTCTGAAGAAAAGAAAGTTTTGAAATTGTTGGAAGAGTGTACGCAGATCAAAAGAATAATCCCGGTGTGCTCTGATATGTTAAGAGTAATCACAACTAGAATATCATGTTCCACTCTAGCTGTCACACTGTAAGCTGACTCTCCCCAGCTACAGAGTTTTAGAGGCACAGAACAGGATGGCAATGACTTTGAGAATAGTTCTCAAAAAGAATAAATTAGGGAAATTCAGTCTGGAGAGGAGAAAATTCAGATAATGTAGCTTTTTAAAAAACATACTTAGAGGGTATGACAGAGGGAATAATACATATTGATTTCAAAGGCAAAGCGTAGGAAAACAGGTTTTAATTCATGTGAGGACTAGATTTCTCCTGTTACTAATGTTCTTTAACAGTAAGTTTTCCCACTATTAGCAGATACTCAGGCAAAACCTGTAATTGACAGAGGGAATTCCACCATGATTAGACCCGATCAACTATGAAGATTCAAAAGCTTAAAATGGTCAAGGGGAAAAAATGTTTATATTGATAGAGCTTGGAAATGGCATTTAGTAGTTGCAACTCCTGCATAATACAGCTTCCTTTACAGGTTGAGTTTGTCTTGAATCAGCCAGTGCTTATTCAACATGAATAAAGGTCCTTCTTCTTAAGGGAGCTCTG